GCTCTTTTTATTTATCTATTTGTGCATTATATCTTCGTACAAAGCAAGGATGCAAAACTATTTCACTCTAGTACCGTGAATTTTCTAGCATGCAACAGTTTAACATTGTAAATAGGAAAACAATCTCATCATCATAAGCACCAAAAAACACTCATTCAATGCCCAATAAGTGAAATAATCACAATGGAGCCTCCCATTTCAACACTCATTATTCCAAAAACTAATTTATGAACCAGGGATGTTAACCCTTTATCTCTTTTTACCCTAATGGGTATAACCTTGGTAGCAAAGGTTGATCAGCTCCATCCCTTAAATATTGCATTCTTAACATGAAGAATTCTCATAATGAAATCCTTCAGCTTTTATAAGGTACTTACTAGCTAACACTGACATGGTAGGAAGGGCCTGCCTCCCTTAGGATCAACTACCAACCAAGGTTATTCAGCTTGAGAACACCCGTATAAAACCTCCTCACCATTAAATAGGGGCTCTTTTATTATTGCAACTAGACATGATCTCATCAATATAAGTAGCTCTACCCATCCCTCTCATACAACACTAACAACCTATACTCCTCCAGTAATCTTTAAGAACTTGGCTTAACCTAGCTTTAGTGAAATGCCTTACAATGTTCTATATGACTAACTTCGATGACTAGCTTAAGAGAATTTTTTTCTTAAGGGGTGGGGGGGTCAACTCTGTATTCATCACAGTTTTCTTGAGCTCTCACCCCTAACTTGTAGCAGCCCAAACTCTTAACTATCGAGATAATGTTCGCTTTGGCCTAAGAGCCTCATGATTTTATCCTATTTGTGTAACTTCCTAGTAGGTCACCCATCCTAGAATTGCTCTGGGATGACCATGTTTAATTGTGGAGTTTCTTATAGAAATTCTAACCATTACACCAAAATGCACCTCGATGTTTAAGAGTTAGCTTTATTTTACTTAAGGGATTTCACAATGCTCCTCACTTAAGTAACTGACATTCTCGTCAGCATCTATATCCTAGAATCATCTACTAGGAAAATATGACTCTAGAGGTGGTCCCTACATGCTCAATGGTGGCTCCTATTATGTAGCACTTTATCCCATACAAGATTCAAGAAGTGGATCCCATGGCATAGCACTTTGTCTTGTATGACACTTAGCTCCCATCTTCCGGCTGGTGTATTGCTTCGATATCATTTGTAACATCACAAACTCTTAACTATCAATATATTGTTCACTTTGGCCTAAGAGCGTCATTATTTTGTCTTATTGGTGTAACTTTCCAGTAGGTCATCCATCCTAGAAATGCTTTGGGATGAGCAAACTTAACTGCAGAGTTTCTTACAAAAATTTTAACAATTACACCAAAAGGTGGCTCAATGTTTAATGAGCTGGCTTTCTTTTTCTTAAGAAATTTTACAATCTCCCCCACTTAAGTAATTGACGTCCTACTCAGTATCTGAATCCTAGAATCATCCCCCAAGTAGATAGGACCCCATAGGTGGCCCCTACAAGTTCAAGTGGAGGCAACTCGTCATGTAGCACTTTGTCTTATACTAGATATTATCCACTTTGTCCACTTTGTGACTCTCATGGCGTAGCACTTTATCTTGTATGACACTTAGCTCCAATCTTTCGGCTGGTGTATTACTCTGATACCATTTGTAATAGCTCAAACTCTTAACTATCGAGATATTATCCACTTTAAGCTCCACATGGTTTTGCCCCTGCTTCCAAGCTTAAGATATTGATTATCTAAAGCACTTTTTATTATATGTGATATGGAATTTTTATTTTAGCATTTTTAAAATGGCCTAATAAGATCATTTTGGTAAACTAGGTTTTTTGAAAATCATGTATTCCATTATAATCAAATAAATCATTCATCTATCGTAATAAGCCTAAAAATTTACTGCAATTATGAACCTCATCAAAAAGTAGATGCTTCGGCTTTAACTCATTTAGAATGATCATTAAAGTAATTTTGTTATCTTGAAGGTAATCAGTTCTAGCGCGCTAAATCTTTTCTGCATGTGCCCTTCTATAACGAGTAAAATCCTCATTAATTTGTAAGTTATCATCCTCTGCATTGATTGACTAATTGGCAAGGATTAGGGATGGAGAAGGGGCATGGGTAATGACAACACTAAATTTATTTAAAAGATACATTTTTCCAATTAGATTAACAAGTTGAAAATATGTATTTTCACACTAGTTTCTAAGCTAAAAAACTTAGATACTAATATCATGTATCATATCAATATACTCTTCAAGTACTTATTTAAGAGGCATGAATAACAATAAAATTAAAATATTATGCAAAATAACTTTTGTATATTTAAATAGCCTTCAAATATACTAAGATAAAAAAATTAGAAATTAGTTTATTGTTTATCTTCAATAATTTGGTCAAAGAATTTGGGTCTAGTATAGATTAGGTCAATCTTAAATTAGGTCAAGATAAAATAAAGGTAGATTTAGGTTGAATTATAGCTCAATTTATTGCATACATATGATGCCAAATTAAATCCCATACATTTGAGACTCTAATTAATCCTAATACTTATTTGTTATACTCTAGTCAACCACCATGGGTTAAATATGGGATTGGTTTTTACCATAGTTAGATCTATGTGATACCTAAATCAAGAGAACTAAATAGTTGAATGTTGGGTTTCTCTCAAATATGGCCCAAGTGTGAATTATATATTAAGTAGATATTACTTAGTATTTTTCTTAGTAATTATAGTTAAGTTAAGTGAAATTAGGTAGTTAATCATATTTCAAATCAAACTAACCAAACTAAAGTTTAGTTTCTTTTAGTTCATATCTACTAGTAATGAAAGATGCTTTAACTAGATTATGGTTTCGCTTGAAACAACTTTTTTATTGCTTTTTAAAATAATTTTTTAATAGAAAAATTTATTGAATTAGATATTTTTATACTAAAAAGCTGTAAGAAAGTTGTTCCAAACTAAGCCTATGCCTCATGACTTCTCACTTCCTAGATTTTTAATACAAAACTTTATATCCTCTCTATAAACTTATATGATTATGTGAGTTGAGCATCATTCATAATTAAAATAATTAAATTCTCTCTCCACCGAAATGATTTCTCAAATAAATCCTAAAGTTTGGAACGGCTTTTTTATTGCTTTCTGAGTTGCATCTTTTTAGTACAAAATTTTTTGTACTAAAAAATATTTTAAAAAAATAGTAAAAAAGTCCTCCTAAAATGAAGCCTAAGTTAATTAGGACTTCTGAGCAAATTGTCCACTAATCTTCCTGGAAGGTTTTGTGTTAAATTAATTGATTATTCTTTAGGTGAAGAAAGCATAGCATTATCAATCATTAATGGGGTCTATCATAATTATTATTTCAAAATAATAGTATCATCACAATCATTATCATACCGACTGCATTATTTTTTTAGATTCATTAGAATTCTTAAATTTATTTCAAATAAGAAAAAGTGAGGATTATTATTATTTTTAAAGAATAATAGAAGTATTTTTTTTTTAATCTAAAAGAGCTAAGATAGCAATGAGAGCAATATTAATTTAAAGAATAATAGAAGTATAAGAAAATGATTGCTTTTATAGCTGTGAGAAGCTGTCAGGCATTATCTTAGGAGCTAAGATAGCAATGAGAGCAATGTGGCCTGCAACATTTTAAATGCTATTCATCGTATAAATATCTCTAATTTAAGACTCATAATGAGCAGTCAGTTCCAACAGAAAACACTATTAAAGAAGATTAATAGCTCTCTTTTAGGAGAAATTGTTCAGTGCGGATATCAGATGATTTGGAGACCAATTAGAACGCGTCACGTTATTCTATACCGAACGATACCGAGTATATGTACCAAGCAAAAAAGTGACGTGACGGATTCTGATTGATCTCAAGATGTCGTCTGACGTCCGCACAGAATAAATTTTCCTCTCATAATAATTTTCTTTATTTATATTATTATTATTATTTTAATCGCTCCTTCCTTGTACTCCTCTGCCTTTTATGTAAATACATGGTTAAGAAAGAAATTATTTCGTTGAGAAAAATAAAGAACAATAAAAAGATTTTTATTGTAAGAGAAAAAGACTTCACAAAATAATCATGACAACAATATTACCAACCTTTCTCCATCTATTCCAATATCAAAGAGAGACCTCTAAAAGCTTTTCTTTGAAGACAATACAAGTTTATTGCAGCCATATTGAATGAAATTTATAATTATATCATAGTGGTCTTACCAACCTGAAATTGAATAACAGAAATTTGTTAAAAGCCAATGAGAATATGCATAGTTGGTAATCAAAACATTGTAGGACTTATGAATTAGGCTTATTTTGAGACAACATTTTTATTATTTTCTAAAGCAGTTGTTTAGTATAAAATTTTTTTAAACTATAAATTTTTTGTACTAAAAAATCGCTTTAGAAAGCAGTAAGAAAGCTATCTCAAATGACCAAATATGCTTCTTGCTACCAATAACATGAACCTTCATCCCAGAAAAAAAAAAATAAAAGGTAAGGTTCCTAAAGATACAAAGGAAAGACAATTAAGTAGATGGAAAGAGCTGTAGAATGATAGCAAGCAAATCAAAGTTCAAGTTTAAGGCTTCGTTTGAGACGGCTTTTTTATTGCTGCTTAAAGCAGCTTTCTAATACAAAATTTTTATTTTTTTAACTAAAAGACCGCTTTAAGAAGCAGGAAGAAAGCCGTACCAAACAACGAAACCTAATTCTATGTTAAACTCAAAAATCTGTTTTCAAGTTCAACACTAACAAAAGTTTTAAATGCCTCAATACAATAAATATAACAGTCAGGCATAAAAGCTGACAAAATTCAATTCAGAAAATATTAAATATGTAGTTGACATTTATTTTAAATTATTTATTTTCCAAAACAAACTGTGACTGTGTGACAGCAATCACAGAAAAGCCTCATGAAGCTTACAATCTAATACAGTGACAACACCTTGGAGGAATTTGCTTGGTGCGGATATTAAGAGCTCTCTTGCATACAAAATTGCTTGAGGAAACAAATTCAAATTTAATCACAAATCAATAAATTCTATTTTACATCCCTATGTTCTTTCCTGTGGGATCAGCAACTCTTCACTGTCACCCACCACAACCTGTGCGATCACAAAGCCATAAAAAACAGTAAGTGAGATCAGGTTAAAGCTTCGTTTGGGACGGCATTCTTACTGGTTCTTAAAACAACTTTTTAGTTAAAAAATTTTAATTTTTATACTTAAAAGCTGCTTTAAGAAGCAATAAAAAAACCGTCCCAAACACACCCTAATATACCATATGATGAAGAAAAAGAAGAACAAATGGATACAAACCTGATAATTTTGACCGCGATATGTGTATTCCACAAGTAGTTGCTTTTGAATTCCAGGACAGGGATCACAGAAACCCATTAATCCAGATTTTTTAATGCCCTCATGAAGCTGTGCCAGAACTAAAGAGATTAGTGCTTGAATTTAATTTTAAGTTTCCACAAAGAATATAACATACAAAGCATTCCTCTTTCCTTTGAAAACTAAAGCAGATGAAGCTTCATAAAGGTAAACATAAAGATGGGCAAGAGAAACTATTTGTTAGTTGGTACTTAGTTCATTCAATATTTCAGAAATAAAACTACACCATACTAGATCAAAGGGCACATTATTTTTAACGAAGATATTACAGAAAATAACAAACATTAAAACTATTACAACTATCTGGAGTCGCTTCATGAATCCTTTTTCTATATAATTTGCTGTTGTTGCATGTGGTGCTTATTCTAATTGACTCTTGGTTTTTTATAACTTCAAGCAAAGTTAAATTTTGCCCATCATATCTTTATGCTATGCCCTTCCATATCAATGCATGTTCTAGTCATTGATACCCAAAACAACTAAATTATTTTTTTGCAATTTTTTTAATTGGTGCCACCCCTGACAACCTTTTTAATATAATCATTTTCTTAGTTATCAACCAAACATTCATTTAATATTACTGAATATTGTATAAGGTGTTAAACCTACTTAAACTAATTATATAACTCTTAATCATATCACATGTGGCCTACCCTTTTCTAGTCCTTTTGACACTAATTTCATCTACACATCTTATGGGTGCATCTTCCATCATTATTTGTATGTGTTTGAATCACCCAAATCTAGTTTTCTTCGCCGAATCTTCAATTAATGCTTACTATCATCACATATCGAACTTAATATTCTCGTTTATGTTATGCTCGGCTTGGTTTTCAAAAAAAAATTTTACTGCACAACCTACATTTATGTAACATGTCAGCTTAAATACAATTTTATAAAATTTATTTTTAACTTCCATGATATTCCTTTATGAAATGAAGAAGTTAAACCTGACCATTTAAATGCGTAAAAAGCTAGCTATAACAAGCATAGGCTTAAACGGATTAAAATCAACCCAATAACATGTCCACAACTAGTCAATTTGTCACCTTCAATGCTCAATGCCAACAATCACCTACAACTGTTGCCACCACTCACGCTATCAATAATCATAATTGAATTACTTGAAATTAAAATAAATTTGATGTTGGAAGATGTTTAAACTATAACAATACACACAAGTGCATATAGATAAAGAGTGAACTATCTACAATCAAGTTTTGATTGACTCATATAAAGTATAAACTCAAATTCAAATCAAAATGAATTTCAATCCTGACACTCACTTAAAAATAGAGCAAAGTTCAAGTTGATTTTGATTTGATTAAAAAATTGATGCGGGTTTCTATATTTGTTTTATGGTAGATATACATTATATTTTAAACATTCTAAATAAGGCTAAAATAATATGGCTAACCCAAAACCAAGAAGAATTTTGATGTGAAACTATCATGAAATGTCGTGAGAATTGTACTTGAAATTAAATAATATATTGAATCAAGATTGACACTAAAACTTTTATGCGTTATCAATTGAAGTTCAAGGATTAAAATATGAATGATTAAATAACAACAAGAAATTACAGTACGAGATTTGAAAGCTTTTCAAAATAACATCAAAAATATCAAGTATTGCAAATGGCTAAAATACCAAAGCCCCAAATTTAAAATTTAGACCCTTCACCTTAGGATCCGTCACTCAATTTGAGGTGGAGGTTAGCGGAAGAGAACCGTGAGCAGACTTAGCGACGTCACTAGTAGACAGGTGACCTTGAGAGGACTTGTCGCCGGGTTGGAAGTCGGGTTCGAAATTCTTAAAGTTATAGTCTTCTTAATATTCTCATTCTTTATATTATATCCAAGATATTTATATCTATAAAATTTAGATATTAGTTGATCTTTAACTAACATTGAAAGATAACTGTTAATATTAAACCCACTTGGAGTATAAATCATTTCCTTGGTCTTTGTTCTAATAATCTCAAACCCTTATTGATAATTTTCTTCATTGTTCTAACTTATAATTTCTTGTAATAGATGTCACACAAATCATAACTATATTATCTGCAAAAAACTATATATCAAGACAACTCACTTTCAATGTCCTTCATTAATATGTTTATAATCAAATACAAAAGATATGAACTTAAAGTTCATCCATGATGTAATTCTACTTAAATTAAAAACCCTTTGGCATCCACATCTGCATCTAATATTAACCAATACTTAATCAAGCATATACTTAATAACTTCAACATACCATTGGCACACTATAAAAAATAATGTCAAACCAATTCTTGTGGTATTCGATCATATTTCTTTTTAGAACTATTAAATCTCATAATTGGATCGTCTTCACATTATCTATACCTTTCATGTATTGTCTTAGCAAAAAAATCATTTTCTTAGTTAATCTTTTCAATATGAAATCAAGTTCATTTTCCAAAAAAACTAAGTTTTTTTCTAAATTCCATTACCCTCTCATATCATTCAATGATATGATCCATAAACTTTATTCTTCTATAATTACCATCTTGAGTAAATCCTATGCTCTTTAATGTTGGAACCAAAATAGTTCATTTTCAATCATTTGGCATCCTAATATTATTCCAATTTTTATTGAAAATATTTTTTAGCCAAACCACTATAAACCCAAAACTCTCCAAATATTATTAGGCATCTCATATGGCCCAATACCTTCAAGCATCTTTTGAGCAAACAATTTCACTTTTCAAATCAATCCTATATCTCATTATTTTGTTCATTATGTGCTCTTCTAAGTGATGTAGGACTATATGCTTTAAAATGATGAAATAAGAATTTGAACGATTTCTTGATAAGAACAATTAAGATTAGAACTATTAGCAAATTAAAAGGATCAAATAAAACATAAGAGCGGTCACTTCCGTTTAGGCTAAGTCGCATGCCAAGCACTTGGAGAATCAAAACAAGTTAGAAATTCAATAACATGCAAAGTAAATAGCTTTCAACAAAATCCCTAATCTAAAATTAGATTAGAAGAAAATAAAAATGCACTCAATCCTACATTTACTAAGCTTTGGCAATGGCAAGATAAAATCCTACGTTTACTAAGCTTAGTCAAAGGTGAAGCACGGCTCCTTGTGATTCCCATGATCTACAAAATTAGGGGATTAGGAAAATAATTTAAAAGATGAGAGAAGTTCACGTTAGTCAAAGTCAGGAAACAAATAGCCGAGATGTTGAAGAAGTTTGTCGTAAAAGTCGTATCTTGTTTCCGGGTCAGCCTTCCATGCGAGAAGTCGCTGTTTTGGGCTCTAGAAGTTGCCGGTCGGTAGTCTGGACTGAAGGAAATTAGTGGACAGCAACTTGATTTTCCAAACAGCAGTTGAAGGTCTTCCAAGGGTGGAGGAAGTAAAGCAACGACTGAAATTTTTTAATTGCAGCCTTGGGAGGAAGAGGGATCCATGTTGTCAGGAGTTTGAATAGAGTTTAGTGGAGGAAATTCCACTTGAGGGTCTTGGGAGGTTTCGGCCAGCAGAGGACTAAGGGGGAGATTTAATTCCAAAAGTAAAAGAATGAGTTTTGGAAAGATCTAAGAGGTGAATACAGTAAGGGGAATTTCGGCCAGGTTCAAGTGAGGGGTCTTGAGTACTTTCCAAGTGTGGATAGAGAATAGGAAATAAATCTCTAGGATTTATTATATAGTGGGGCCGGCGGCATGCATGAGCCAGGGGAAGTTAATGGGGCTATTAATGCTTACTTAACTAATAAATCAAGATTGGAAAAAAATATTTCATCTTTTCTTAATTTAAAACTTAAATAAAAATTAATTCAAAAGGTTTCCTAAAATAAGATTTATAATTTGAGTAACTATTTGAAATTCAAATTGATTTGAATTAATTCAAGTAATAGTTACCAAATATATGAAATCTAATTTAGGAAGAAACGGATAGCATGTGGGGGAAGGAGGGAGGTTGGATGGCCGGCGACTAAGGGCTAGGGCCGGTGGCATGGAGGCTTCCGGGTATGGTGGCCGGCGGCTTGTGGGGAAAGAAAATTGTGGAGCTCGGGTGGAGGAAACAATGGCTTAGAGTTGGAGATGGTTTGGATGTGGAGATGTCCGGTGGTGGTGGTGGGAGGAAAGAAAAAGGGTTGGCCGACGGCAAGCGATTTTGGGAACTCCTTAGGCCAGCGGCTAGAAGAATAGATGGAAGAAAAATTGATAGAAAAAATAAAGAACCACGAACCCAGCCGTCTCCAAAGTTGGTGGGTGATCCAAATTTCCCTCTCCTAGGGATTTTCTTCAAAGTTCTCTCCAAGAACTCTCAAACACACAAGTGCAATACATTTTTCATAATAATCATTCATTCATTAACTTTGGAAGAGCAACATGAGGGCTATAAATAGCTTCTTACAAAAGACTCAAAATAAGAAGACGACAATGCCCTTAGGGCTTACATACGACCTCCCTTAAGTAAGGGGTAAAACGGGAAAACAATTAAAACATAAATAATAAAAGACAAATAACATAACAAACGACAAATACATGAAAATGACTCAAAACTACAACGACTCGATCGTGGCCGTAGATCGATGGCTACGCCTCTGACATACGAGTCATGCTCTGATGTCCTCATCACTAAGATTTTTTTTTTCTTGAAACACCCATATAGAGGTTGTTTAGCTTGAGGAAAAGCAAGTATTAAGTATTCCAAATACATAGGCATTAAGAATTTTGGCATTTGGATTGATGAAAAAATAAATGCAGAGTTTTGGTAAATTCTAAATTCACTATATAGTTCATTTTTAATGTATGTAAAACTCACCTAATTTTTTTCAAATTCTTACACCACAAGCTTACCACTATTAACATAGGACGCTTACCACCACTGCCAACATTAGCACATATCTGTATAATTCACTTGGCATTACTTTCTCATATCACCCCATCGTATGATTCATAAACTTGATTCTTATATAATTACCACCTTGAGTGATTCCTATGCATTAAATGGTACCAAAATAATTCCTATTCAATCATTTGGCAACCTTGTATTATTCCAATTTTAACTGAAAGTATTTATTAGCCAAACCACTGCAACATCACCCAAAGCTCTCAATATATTAATTGCATTATGTATCTTCTGAGAAAACTATTTCGCTTTTAGAATCAATCTATAATATCTCATTACTTTATTCATTATTTTCTTAAGATATTTTTCTTGAAACTCTCATATATGTGTTGTTTTTTTTATGATTAGTGTAAAATATTTCAAATGCATGGTTTTAGGAACTTTGGTGTTTGGTTTGATAAAAAATAAATACTACAACAACAACAACAACAAGCCTGTATCCCATTATGTGGGGTCAGCTACATGAGTCCTTTTTCTCTATTGTATCATATTAAGAATCAAATTATCATCTAAATCTAATAAAGAAAAGATATTTTTAATATTTTCTAACTAAGTCTTTTTAGGTCTACCTCTACCTTTTTTAACATAAGTCAAATCTAATGCATCTACTTTCCTAACCGAGTCATCAGAAGGTTGTCGTTTTATGTGACCAAACCATCTAAGGTGACTCTTTCTAATCTTATTTTCCATTAGAGCTACTCCAACCTTTCACGTATATGCTCATTTCGTATCCTGTCTCTAAGAGTAATGCCACTCATCCACCTGAGCATCCTCATCTTTGCAACACTTAATTTAATATTATGCTTCTCTTTTAATGGCCAACATTTTGCACCATAAAACATTGCAGGCCTCACTACCATCTTATAAAATTTTCCCTTATGTTTGAGGGGGTACTTTTCTATCACACAAAAAGCCTGATGCATTCCTAAAAAGACTTGGTTAGAAAATATTATGAATGACTTTTCTTTATTAGATTTAAACGAGAATTTAACTTTTAATAGGACACAATGGAGAAAAAGGATTCATGTAGCCGACCCCACATAGTGGGATAGAGGCTTGATGTTGTTGTTGTTGTTGTTGTTGTAGTTAGCATAATATAACATCATAATTTACTTATAATTTATTATTATGTTATTAAATAGTTGATGGGTAATCAACTTATTTAAACATTAATTAATACCAGGAACAATGAAGAATAGGTTATTGAGAAGGAATAAACTTCTGTTTTTTAATTAAAACAAGGATACTTTGGGTATCATCAAAAGTTTATCGGATTCCTTTCTCTCCATTTCCGCATGTTTGAGAATGATGCAAAATTCTCATCACAGAGAAAAGTGTTCAATTCTTTTCCAAATCTTTTCTTTTTTCTACTATAACTAGCTAACACTCAGAAAAATATATGGTAAAGAATATATCAAAAAACATAGATCATAAGAAATAAAAGAGAAATATTGCATAGCAAGAACAATAAAGAGATGATACTCGGCACTGATTCCTTTAGCATTTTATCCAGTGTCTACAGTATTATGCATGGCAACATGTCCAAGTTTCTAAGGTTTTACATATCTAACCATGAATAATATGAAAATAAAAATGGTTTGGCCAGTATAATTAGCAAATACCTTAAGTTTTCCAGAATCATTGACCAAAAAATTGAGCGGCAATGTTACATCTAAAACTTGAGAGGCCACTTCATCATTATGATCTTCTCTATGCTCACCGCTTCGTTCCATTTCTTGAAGATTTCCATATACAGCTTTAGAAATAACCAATCCTCCGTTCTCCAATTGCTTGTTCTTCTTTCTATTAGAAACAGTTTCTAGTATTTTTTGTGCTTTCTTGGCGACCTTCCTTGCTTCTTGCACCTTGTTATGTCCAGAAGAGAGAAAAAAAATACAAATAAAAACAACTAGAGATCAGCTGCCTCGGATGGCATTAAATTTTTAAACATGTAAACGGAGAGTATGAAGCAGTAAGTGTGCTTGAATTAATCTCCTGATGAAATGAAGAATGTGATCATCCAGACAATTAATTCTATAAACAAAATAAACCATGACTCCAGAAAGCTAAGCAAATCAAAAGATTTAATCTGACACAAGCCAAGTTCAATTTGTATCTATTTATAATGCCTGTTTCTATCTTAAACTTCTAATACAACTGCTTCCAGAACCAATTGAATAAAGCCTCCTTTAGCATGGAGAATTCTTCTTTTTTTTTTAGAATTTGTTAAATGAAGCCTGGTTACATCATGCCAAACCTGAGTTAATCTGCATAATCAAAATGCAAAGCATGACTGATGTAACACGTATTAGGTCGAGGGATTCAAACACAAATCTAATGAAAACCTGTAATAAAGAAAATAATGCAACAAACATAAAATTCACGAATCACTATAAATCCAAAACAAATCTTTATTATCTTCACTGATAACAAAGAAACTAACATAGTACAATTCAAACGATAGATCTATGGTCTTCTACCAGAAAACCAAGGACAATAAAATATTATGCACGCGACTGAAATTTCACAACTAAAAGAAATATGGATTCGTAGAAAACCTGACTAAAAACACAATTTTACTTCCAACCAACGAAACATGAGGAATAAAATAAAGAAAAGGGGGAGAAGGAACTAGAAAAATAAGCCCTCAAATTTGTACAAGGAGATAAGCTGATGCAAGCAAAAATTAGGAAAACCCCTAATTTTTGCAAGCATCAATTTGGTATCAGAGCCTAGGTTTATGTCTTCCTAGGTTTTTTTCGTGTCTTTTTTTTGTGTTTAAAAAAATGGAAAAAGACAAATTGGTCAGTTGTCGAAGAAAATCAACCAGAAGCTTCTGAAGTCCAAATTCCAATGGATAGATGGGTTCTGACGGAAGGAAGTTCAACAAATCCCCTACAAAATGAGTTATACAAGCTTCAGATGAAGATGCATCTGTGTAAGGAGCGATATATAAAGAAAAAAAAAATTTCTACAGGATCATTCAAGCATGAACGAGAAGAGATCCTGAAAAAGTATGCGGCCAAAATTAATTGATGCAAGCAAAAATTAGGAAAACTCCTAATTTTTGCAAGCAAAAGAAAAGACTTCCTAGAAAAGTAGAAAATACATAAAATACTCCACCTAAAACGAAATACAACTTTTACGGAAATAAAATGACGCTTACAACTTTAAATAGAAAGACACAACATCACTTTGACAACTTAAAATTGTTGGCTCAAGAAAAATGGCATGAATGCACGAATCCTGCTTTGCAGCTGCAGGGTTCCATTTCTCTTAAGTCAGATTGAAATTAACCAGATTTCCCCTGAGGATAGTATTAGGGTTTAAAGATCTGGGGTTCTTACTTCTTATGAGCGCAAGCACTCATAGTTAATTACCCCTCTTACTACGTAAGAGAGAACTCTCGATTAAGGATGAAATAATTTTAGATATTTTTAGTCTCAAATGGTGGGAAGATGGAGGTAAACTCGATCAAGATCCCATGGTTCCGTCGTCCCGGGTATACCATAGATTTCAGTCTACCAACACTAACAATCATTGACCATAGTGTACAGGGAATCTGATTAGCAGCCATGGGTTGCCTCCTCTTAGGGATCCCGAGTAGACTGAAGTGGTTAGATGTTGATTTTAGTTTTAATTTAATTTGAGTTGGGGCTTACTACTTCCTTAGAAGTTGCCCG